ACTGGCGCTAAAAGTTTAATACTAATGTACCACCTATACTAAACTAAATCTAACCAATAAAGTAAAAAAAAAGCAGAAGTGTCATAAAACATTTGCTAAAGCAACCATGCCATTTTAGCTTGCTTCTACAAGTCTTTGAACCGTTTTATCATGATTTGTGTTTCACTGGACAAGTGCAATGCTGTACCAGGTGAGCTACCGAGCAATTTTACTAGATCAGAAAAGCCATTTATGGAGAATATTATGTGATGCAAATGTCAAATTATATTAGTTTAGAAATCATGCACTATGGTAAAAGTGTTTTGAGGTCATAACAATGTGTTATGCAAGTAGCCGCACAAAAATAAGTCTTTATTAATAGATAATCTGCCCCATAATTACAATTTGTGTGAAAAGGAATAAAAGTTGTTTGATGTTTTATTGCCACTAGTGTTCATTTCAGCTAGAAACTGTAGTGAAATGCATATATAGTTCAGTTTTATGCAAAAATGTAGATAGAGGGAAATTTTTATGTTAATGTTCACATTTTTTGTGCTCATATGCTATGTTGGAATATGCACACTTTGCCACTATATAGTAGGCAAAAACAGTATTAGTGACAGCAGTCTACTGAAGATTGCAGTAATAATGGATGCCCACGACAACGAGAGCTTGAGCGAGGAGGTTACGAGATACCAGCAAGTCAAGCTCAAAACAGTACAATGACATTTTTAGCAGTCATAACTCCTGGAGAGAAATAGCGCAGACACTGGACGAAGACAAAACATTTTAATGCACATGCATCGGCTGCCTGTGGTCGCGCATGCAATCAAATGGAGTATATCTTGAAAGGCCATGTGCTCGGCTGTACACAAGCCAATCATTCATGTCAAAACTGCAGTATTTAGGCTTTAGATTATTATTATTGCTAATACTAATGTTACATTCACATCATGTTGGAATTACGGTCATTCAAATATTCTGACCAGTCAAAAACATTAAAGTCTTTGTCAAATCTGTAATTGAAAGTTGGAATGAGGAGGTTATGAAAGTTCAGACTTCTCTCACTTAACCATTGTGACAAGTGAATAGAATCATAATGGCAGCAGCCTCAACAGTTACATTTACTTTTATGAATTTGACAAATCCTTAAAGCAACTCACAATGCATCCAAGGTACGCATTTTAACAGCTGATGCATTCCTTGGAAATCAATGCACATCAAACATTTTGGTTTGATATTAAAGGGATTTTGCAGTAATCATCCATTGACTGTACATTGTTAACATGTGCACGTTATTCATTCTTAAACGGTTTGCCAGAGCATATAGCTGCCTAGCAACAACACAGCAAAACCCTGACAACCACCCAAAATGCCCTAGTGACCAGTTAACAGCAGCATTGCAAACAACCAAGAACACCCAACAACCGTTTAGAACTCCTCTGCAGCCACCCAGAACACCCTTGCACAGGCATTTTCTTCTGAAAATCTAGTTTTGATATACTCTGGAGAATATTGAACTCAGGATTTCCTACAGTGCAGGGCATTCACATAATGAATTCACATTTTGTGCCCTAAGTAATGTTAAAAACCGTCTGTTTTTAAATCCAGCCACCCCTTTTTTCCATATCAGTCTTTGCTGTAGAGGGACTGCGTTTGGAAGATATAAATAACAAAAACTGACAGCAGTCAGAGATTTGGTAAGCTTCTTACAAACCACTTGATGTCTTAACAAAAAGATTCCATTATGTCTAATGCCTAATGTCTTCACTGAGCTATGAAATACAGGAATACTTTTTTTGCAAAATGGACAGTAGCGCACATATCTTGCTTTGAACGTTCGGCGACTGTAGAGCAGCACCCACTGTCTCACGCTGTGACGATTCATACGCTCACTGCTTGCATGAGAACATTAAAGCCTAATGTTTAACTTATCATATTCTGGGCATTCTGGTAATATGATCATGGATCAATGCAACATGCTCCAGTTCATCCTGAAAACATTAGATCTAATGGGAATAACATGGGAGTATGCAAAATGAGACTATATTGACACATCCTAGACATGTATACCAAGATCCCTGAAAATGCCTGGCGGACATTCAAGAAAACAGCATTGCATATATGGTTTGCACTGACTTGCTGGCAAAATGTCTGTGTCTAATATTAGGTAGATGTGGATATCATTTTTTCTGCTCCTGTGAAAAAGAAATCGGGCATGTGTAAAAGGTAATGTCAGGGGAAAGATCAAAATCATTAATCAGATAAATACGACTGCTCTTTGACTGAAATTACAAGTGTAAAACCATGCAAAAGATATTGAAAGTGTGTATATTTTCTCTGTGAATACAGAAAAATAATGGCAGTGGCACTTCTAATATTCCAGTATGCAAAAACTCTTTAGCTTGAGAGATGGTATTTTGTCGTTCTATAAAGAAAAGAAAATATGGATCTTTACTCACAGAAGATTACATAACAAATGGATTCTGCAAAACCAAAACTCAGTTTCATATTCATTCATTCATTGTTATGTTTTGCTGATATTTGCTGAACACACTTTGACTGCTGCCATCATGACAAAGGGACAGTTCCCCCCAAAATAGAAAATTCTTTCACAATTTACTCACTTTCATGAGAGATATTTAGAAAAATCTCCATACAGTGAGTCAATGGTATTGTTTTTGGACACCACTGACTTTGACTGTATGGACAGTTAGACATTCCTCAAAAGATCTTCTTTTACATTCCACAGAAGAAAGAAAGTCATACAGGTATGGAATGACATGAGGGTTAATAAATAATGGCAGAATTGTCATTTTTGGGCAAACTATCCCTTTAAGAGGCTGTTCATCCAACATAACATCAACATAACTGCTACAAACACTTCACAACGAAAACTAATCTTATTCATAATAACGCATCTCAAACCATCAGTTTTTAAACAACTTGCTTCTGCAGTCAGACTTAATCATTGGCACGCAGTGTGAAGTTAATGCATTTAGCATTATGATTATCTTATCCACACTGATGAAACGGCTGCAGAGCATAACAGTTTTTCCTTCCTATAAACTGCTCATCTTTGTGTACCACTGCTCCCAATGTGTGACTGAAATATGTTATGCAGAAAACTGAACATTTTTGAGATGCAAAAATGAATGTCTCTGCAAAGAGTCATTTAATGGACAGAAATGAAGCACTGTTTTCATCGCCAGCTACTCTTTGCAATCTAGACCTGCATAAGGAAATATGCAAGAAAATCTGAAGTGCAAAGTGTCTGAGTGTGGTAATCAGTTATTTCAAGATACTCAGCTCATGTTGAAAACATCTCAGAAAACAAAGTCCACAATAATATCTCAATGGCTTTTGAACTTTCTTTTTCCTGTTTCATGTGACCCCTCTTTAAAATTGAACCTTCTGAATGCAACGAATGCTGCAGGTGAAGCAGGGTGGAATCTTTCACTTTGTTCACCGTGATATTGAACATGGCACAGTTGTTGGAATAATGGGGCCAGGATTAAGATTTCATCCTTCAGCCTGACACATTGCTGCAGAGAGCTTCACAGCTTTGCAGAGCTGTCTTCAGCACCACTGCTGTGGCTCTAGATCATTCTTTTCTTACAGTGACTGCTTTGATATGGGGGCAAAAAACACCAGAGTGGTCGCTCTCTTTGCTTCAAGCGCCCTTTCCTGCTGTGTGACAATTCCCTGCCTAGATTCATTCCAAAAAGTGCCCACTCCCCCCACTCACAGCCCAGTCATCCTTCACAGTCAAGCCCTATACTATCAGAATGTCAACTGAAGGCATTGTGCGAAATTATACAATCGCTATCCCTAACCCTAGGCCTAACACTTGTTAGACCTGTTTAACTTCTAATCACTGTTATCAGCTAATCCTCCAGCACTACAAATGTATAATTTAAAACTAAAATTCAAATGCACTTATGTATAATTAGTGATAGATTGATATATTGGCCAGCAGTGACAGAAATTAACTTTTCCACTGAATGGATGATTGAATCATTCACTCAGCCGCTTCATTCAAAAACGGCATTCAAAAGCAATGAAGTACCACTGTTTGTTGCTGTGGCTTTGTTTGGAACCATTTTCAATGCCAAAATAGAGCAAAATCAGTAATAGTTACAATATTGTGCCTAAAAAGTAACTTAATATTAATATCAGTAACACATTTGCATTCTTGCTTATATTTGAGGAAAACAGCACTTGCTTGTGTGATATTGCTTAATTATATCAAACAATACCAATACAAGACAAAGACCCATACATGGGGCATTTTTTGCCCATATTTTTAATTTTTGGGTCATTTTTACAACAAGGACCTGTTCATTTCAGACCCTATTGGCAGGCCAATTAATTGGCCAGTAATTCGTCATTTGCAAATTAGTGCACATTTAATTTATAGAAAAGATAATTCTGATTTTTTTGTTGTTGAGTTTATATCTCTCAATTCCAACCTTTGTCTCACATTTCTGAGAAAAAAAAAAATAATAATTTTTTTTTTACATTTTTAAGTTTATTATTTTGTGGTGAAAACGGGCTTCCATATAAACCTGCATGACTTTCTCTTTTATACATTTTTTTTAAAACAAATCTTTCATTTTTAAGCACTGCTAGATTGTTTACGGTTTATGTTTGCCTTTATGGTTTTTGCCACTTCGTCCATGCATTTAAGCCCGATTAGTCCATAAATGGTAAGTGAGGGCAAATGGATGTTACAAAAAACATCAACCTAGTAACCTGCTTATGGTTAGCAAAGGGCCCTTCAAACATGGTTTGCAAATGGTGGTTAAAACCACTACTGAGAGCCATAGTCTTTCTTCTACAGAAGAAAGAATGTCATACAGGTTTGGAATGATATGAGGGTGAGTAAACAATGACAGAATTTATAACTGAATTGCATTGTAACACAACTAATACTGTAAAATAAATCTAGTGCAGAAAAGGACAGCATTGCCAATACAAAGATCTAATCAAGCCCCCAAGAGGGAAAAAGGAAAACTCACTTCAGTCCATTGACCTTGGTTCTGTACCATGAGCATGACGCAGGGGTCAGACTTATTGAGCGTATCTCGGTCCAGCAGGGACTTGCAGGAAACACGCAGCTCCACCTTGGATACGCAAGCAACAGGGCCTCCTATGCCTGCCACTGGGGACGTCGCTTCCTGTGAGTCACTCATCCTGACAGAAAGTTGAGTGCGGAGGGTCAGCCGGAGATGGGAGACAGCAGTGTCAATGGGCTGTTCTTTAAAAGCCTCAGTTTGATTGAAGCAGGACTCTCCCATGTAGGGAGTCGATTTTTTAATGTGACCTTGTGTTGTTTCTTCGTAAGGCAAAGGATGTGGGATGTCTTAAAACATATCTGTCAGTTCGACTTAAAGTTCTCTACAGAGAGACATCTCTATGCCTGATTCGCTTTAGAGGAGAATGGGTTGCTGGGAGTGGTTCAGATTTAAAGGGATCAAATGGGATGTTGTAAATCAGAGATGTCCATTAATATTACAACAGCAAAATCCCAGATGAGATCTTCAGTTGACAGTCTCTTCCACAACAGACTCCTAAGCAAGAAATAAGCGTGTGGGGGTAAGAAATGTCAGGATGTGCATTCTAAATGTAATTTTAACATCCAGTGAATGGTTCACCACATTGAAAACACAGCTTACATACAGATATACAAGAAGGTTTATAAGTGAATATATAAACTGCATGAGTTAATAACATGAATATTTTACAAGGATCCACATGTTGGACATACACATTGTGATCAGGAAGTTTGTGTGCAGGCGAAGGATTTTCTTATGCAGATTTCGCAACAGGTTCAAGTTAGTCAAGTGTATTTATGACCAACAGAAAGCTGCCTGGTTTGAAAGTGACTTTTATGTGAGATATGCTTCACATATCGCTACACTACTGACAATGGCAAAGTTTTAACCCATAATCTTGATTTTCATTGTGAGGTTAACCCTTTAACCTGACAGTCAGAATATCTTTCTTTAACTTTTTTTACACTTACACTTTTCTTTACACTTTTTAAAAGAAAACACAAACATTTTGTGACATTTCTGTAATCAAGTGGAAATTTTATCGATGTTATGTGATTATGACACTGAACAGTTGAGGGGCCGTTCACCCATAACGCATTTTTACATTCTACTGCGCTGCTTTTCCATTGTTTTTATGTTTTTTATGTAAACGTGCATAGGCTACGTTTTGAGTCTTTTGCATCGTCTTAAGTCACTTAAGTTTTTTATTTATTTATTTATTTGTTTGTTTGTTTTTTATTCCAAGTAGGCGCCGTGACTTGTCATCAAACTTTGTAACACGACTAAATAAAACGTCTCAGGTTACATATGTAACCATGGTTCCCCGAGTAGGGAACGTTCCCATGAAAGGGAACTATGCAATTGTAGACCCTCCAACCTTTACCTTTACAGTGCGCAAGCCAACCCACCCCCTGTAATTCGTACCCTGCGGTCATATTTCGTAATCATAATGTTATAATGTGCTTTATTATGCATTCGACATTCACCCTTTAAACGATCATATCAGCAAACGCGACGCGTAAATCTATCAGCCAGCAGAGCGCGCGTGGTTCAGCACCGCAGATCATGGACAGCTCCTTGCATCTACTGTATATCCACTTACTACAACAACAACCAATTACAGCACGGTTAGTGAGCTTTCTTGCACTGCTGTTCCTTGCGTCTGAACTATTGTTTGATTCAAATACTTAAGTTAAGAATTACAGGCTATCACTAATGAAATGATTAAACGCTTGATCATGTAACTGGCGCTTGTAGGCTACTACATGAATCTGCTAGTTTTGGTATGCAACACGAATACACCGTTTAACGCAAATAATTCAGTGTAAATGGAGTGAATAAAATTACAATAATAAAGTACTACGAAGTGACTGTTAATAGATTACACTTTAGCCCGGTAAACTTCAGCTCTCTCGCATCTGCAACGCAACGTTTGTTTGACAGTTAACCCACATTCACTTTATATCCTCTATTACTTATCAAACTCGCATGAATGTAACTATAACTGAGTGTAATTTTTTTTTAAATTGCATCCTTTACCTTTCCGCAAAGATTTGCAAGCACTGGTAAGTTAGATATCACATATGTAAATAAACAGCCTAATCATTTGTCCCCAATTATCACTAACAACACCCCATATGCAAAGCAGTATATAGACTAATAGTAATAATAATTAATAATAATAATAACAATAATAATCATACACATTCCTTGATGACTAACAGCAAACATAATCTAGTGAGTGTAAATAAGAGCTGTGTTCTCACCTGCTGTTGCTGCTGCTCTTCTCTCAATGTGTGTGTGTGTGTGTGTGTGTGTGTGGAGCGGCTGACACATGCCCACCGCGCGCTAGTTCGGCTGTCATGTTACCTTGAAGAGCTACATTGGAGTGAATTGAACAGTCTCAGCTGGGAAAAGTCTTTATCTGACGTCAGTTTCGGCAAGAATCGGCATCCTAAGCTTGAATGAATGTGCAAAATCATTTACAGCCTATAAGGGTTCCATTTTTTTTATTTTATTAAAAAAAAAAATTTAGAAAAAAAAAATCAATTTCTGTAAAATTTTCATAAATTTAATGTGCCACTTTGAGAGTTTGAGTTTTTGAATTGCTTTTTATAAACTTAGGGATGTGATATTCAAAAATCCTGAATAATAGGGTTGGTGGTAACAGGGTTTGACTGTTATATTAGGCTACAGACATTACTAGCCTCAAGGTCATGCAGCAAAACCATGGTTTTAAACAGAACTATAACTATACCATGCACAAACACAGAGTGTTGACATTTAAGATGAGACTTTTACTTTTCCTTCCAGTTCCATACACTTCCTAAAAGGATAATCTAATGGAATACATATTAACTTATACACTTCTTGTTGTGCTATATTATTATCAAATATTGGATTCAATCATTTCATCAGCTTTCAGCACAAGTTTTGTACTTCTTTTTACTGACTGATCATGCACTCATCTGAGCTTTTGCACCTCAGTTTTTGAGTGAACTCTGACTAAATGATCCACAAATCAAGCATTGCAATTAGTTCAGGCAGGCCACGTCAGTCAAGCTCGCATCAGCTGATAGTCAGCTGTTCCTGACGTGTACCAATCCAGTTTTGACACTTATCACAGCGGTCCATTTAAATTCCATTCTCCAGCATCTCTTCTATCGCATCGCTACTCGCAAATCAACTCCCTCCTCCAACCCCAACTCCACCTAACTGAACTGGTAACCTAATCTGATTTTTCTTTTCTTCGTATACAGTTCACTATATTGCAAGCATTCTCTATCACATATGTTTTCTACAGCTCATGTAAATTGTGAATTGTAATTATGTATGAATATACTGGATCTGTTGTGTTCCCCAGGGGGCTTTGACTTGCATGGCTGCATGGACAGGCGTGGGGAGTTTTGCCCAGAACAGAACCATACTGCCAACACTAACTGTATGCTATAATTGTAATAAGCATACTTTGACAAAGTGGACCTGACTGAAATAATGCATTGTTCATTTTTTATGGATCTGAGGTGCATAAAGCTTGGATCACTGAGGTCTACGACCAATCAGTTCCAAAAAGAAACACAAAACCCGTACAAATTAAAAGAAAAACTTTGTAATCAGGATCTCAGAGTATAATGTCAGTAGTAGTGTGGGAATGGAGTAGCCTGGCTGCATGAGCGAGATGTTGAAGGATCTAGAGTTACTGAAATGCTTTTATGTTATTGGCTGATGCATTTTTTCTGATAGCATAATGGCATAGTGATGTAATGGTGAAAGTGGTGAAACTAGCATTGTTAGACTATTCTTACATAATATTACTAATACCTAACTCCATCTTCCAAAATCGGACTAGGGTTTTATTTTGGGGCTTTTCAAAAAAGCACAAAGGTCGTAAAACTGGTCTTCACATGTCCAGACAAGATTTTGAGATTAACCAGAAATGGCATTTTCATTTCATTGGAAGGAGTTTCCTGTCATTTGTTTAGTGAGCAGCATGGATGCATGTTGACAGAATATAACTTGTAAATCAATTAAGAAGAGCAATTATATGGCCTATAGCTGTCTGAAGCCATACCCAGAGGTAAAACACCTATGTATGCAACAAATGCCATTATTGTGCTCGCAGAACCTTTTTCATTCCACCCACAATTTCTCTCTCTTTTTTTTTTTTTTTAAGATGGGACACAGTTATATTGGTCAGGAAGTGAAGTGTGAGAGAGAATGGAAATGGCTTAATCAGAAATAAAGTGCTATTTGGTTTCTGCAAAATAAGACATTGTGGCTTCTGTGCTGATCATCTTAAACAGGCTCTGCTAATTCTGGCTGCCTTTCTAAAAGAACATCGAGAGCCACTCCATCAAGAATCCTGATGAGAAGCGCTGACAGTACAGGATATCAATCAATGGGGGAGAGGAAACGCATTTGCTCTAAGGAATTGTTCGTCCAAAAATGCAAATTTGCTGAAAATGTACATGCTCTCAGGTCATTCAAGATGTAGATGAGTTTGTTTCTTCATCAGATTTGGATACATTTAGCATGTCATCACTTGCTCACCAATTAATCCTCTGCAGTGAATGGGTGCCGTCGGAATGAAAGTGCAAACAGCTGTTAAAAACATCACAAGTAATCCACACCACTCCAGTGAGACGAAAAGCTGTGTGATTGTAAGAACAATCCATCAACACATTTTGTACTTCAATCCGTTGCTTCTGGCTAAAAGTCCTGCTCTATCCATAATATTGCTTTCTCCAGTGAAACAGTCGTCTCGTTTGAATAAGGAGAGAAATATGCACAGATCAAGCACCATTTACAAGAGAAAACAACCCAAAACAGTTCTAAACAAATATGTCGGTGGATTTTGAACAACAGGGATGGACTTTTTCCACTGGGAGAAGTGTTTTTATGGATTATGGACTCATAGTTTGGCCAGAAGTGAGTTTAATGTTAAAAAACACCTTAATGATGGATTTGTTCCTTACAAACACTCAGTTTTGCACTACACAAGACATTAACTGATGGACTGGAGTGGTGTGGATTACTTGTGGATTATTGTGATGTTTTTATCAGCTGTTTGGACTTTGATTCTGACGGCACCCATTCACTGCAGATGATCCATTGGTGCACTCTAAAAAATGCTGGGTTAAGTACAACTCAGTGCTGGGTAAAATAGGGACAAACCCAGCAATTGGGCTGTTTTGACCCAGCGGTTGGGTTAAATGTTTAACCCAACCTTCTGGGTAGTAACCCAACCGCTGGGTCAAAACAACCCAATTGCTGGGTTTGCCCCTATTTTACCCAGCACTGGGTTGTATTTAACCCAGCATTTTTAGAGTGTGAGTGATGTACTGTTCAAATGTTCAACCACTTAAATTTTCTTACAAAGTGATCATTTTAGATCAGGGGTGCCCAAACTCGGTCCTGGAGGGCCGGTGTCCTGCAGAGTTTAGCTCCAACCCTAATAGAAACTTGAAGGCAGGTGTGTTGAGGCAAGTTGGAGCCAAACTCTGCAGGACACCGGCCCTCCAGGACCGAGTTTGGGCACCCGTTTTAGATAATCAATCAATTTGGGTTGTTTATTTCATGTAAATGGGTTTCTACCAATCATGTATTTTTTTTTTTATTATTATTTAACAGAACATGTAAGTGGCCAGCTCTGCTGGGTTTAGGATACTTCTATCCTCTTCGCCACTAAGCAAGTGACAGAGATATTGAATTTATGATTCATATATTTAGAGTTCTAAATTATTACTTGGGTTCATGCATAAACATGACCAATCACAAAACCTTTAAAGATTTCCCATGACTTTAACACCTTTTTTTGTTTACATAGAGAAAGTTTCACATACTGTACATCCACAATGGCTACTTATGGCCTTAAACATAATAGCTATTACTTAAATAAATCGAAGAGACGCGCTGTGACTCTAAACTCATTTGTGTATCTCTACCCAGACTCAGTTACACTATAATACTCACATAATGATGGACGTGACGACATCATAGAGGATAGTGAAGATATTTCACTGGAACTTGGGCTTCAATACATTTTTTTTTCATTATGCATTTATTCATGTTCAATGTCATCTTCACTGTAAAACCTTAATTATGAGACCACGTAGATAAAAAGCATTAAGGTTCTATATAGCAGTATAGAAGCGTTTTTTTATTTTTATTTTTTTATGGACCCTTGTGAAAAGGGTTCTATTTAACAACAAAAAGAGCCCAAATGTGTTACTGTTTAGAACTATTTTGTTTAAGAGTGCAATTTAATATTTATTGTAGATAAACCAAATGGTAACCGGTTTCCAGTATTTTAACTGGTATTTTAACAGTAATTCTACCAGCGATTCCACTGATCAAGGGTAACTAGGACACATTCTCGACATCTTATGTAACCTCATAAGTGATCATCTCCCCACTCATCTCCCCCGGGTCAAGATATTTTTGGTTTATTGATCCATGTGTAGGTTTTCATGGAAAAATCCCAATGGTTCATTGATTGTGGACAGCCCCAATTATAACGGCCCCTTTACTTCACTTATAATTGATTTGGGCCACTTCAGTTTCAGTGACACTCAGTTCAGCAGCACTGGAAAATGTACCATTACTCAAAATCATCCATGGTTGTTTCCACACTAAACCAGTCTCTAAACCATCTGCGTGCAAAAGCCTCAAGAGAAAGTTTATAAATCAGAGGATACACAATACAAGCAAATATAGCACCAAAACCACAGTCCTGGCAGAAAATGAGGAAAGATATGAATGCTCGGACTCACACACCACATATGATGATGTGGGAATGCAATGTTTGCATAATACACCCACAGCTCATTCATACACCAAAACCAACCACCACTGGACATTACGACATCACCTATAGGACAATGTTGGCATTCATTAACATTGAAACAGCTGATTTGTATGAGCATTTCCATCATGAAGACAAATTCCATACAAAACTGTGCTGACAGACGTTATTCAAGCTTCCACCTCGGGTTACAAACACAATATGCAAGTTCAGCAGCTATGACAAAACATTAAAGGGATAGTTCATCCCAAAATGAAAACTGTGATTTACTCACCCTCATTTCATCCTAAAGCTGGATGATAGACTTTCTTCTGTGGACATAAAATATTTTTATAAATGTCTCTTCTTTTTTTTTTCCCCATCCACACAATGGACGTCATTTGGCTCCAATGTTGTTTGGTTCCCAACATTTTGCAAAATATCTATATAGAAACATACAGGTTTGGAACTAAATGATTCGATCAAGTTTGTGAATGATTACGAGT